ACTTACAGCAGCTGCAGTTGCCTACATGGGGCCTGCTCAAGATGGGGCCCCTAAACATTCAGTCACAGATGGTACAGCTCATGGGGCCCTGCCTAGCCCTGCCCACGGCTAATGGCAGAACAGGGCTGCTGGAGGAGAAGTTGGCCTTCTGGGGTGAAGCCACTGGCGAGTTATCCATGAGCTGGTGGATAGCCCCACACTCATGCCCAAGTGGGCTCTCCTGGATAAACCCAGTGGGTCACAAAGTGGAAACAAAGACATTAAAGTGGGATGGGGACTTGGTGTGAGGAAAGAAGGCATTAGCAAGGGTGGGAGGGGGATGAGAGAGGGTGGAGGCTGGGTATAACCAGAATGTTTATATACATGTGTGAAATTATCAAAGAATAAATTAATTATAAAAGGCCCTAGTGACTCATTGACTAGTGATGGGCCTTTATAAAATTTATAAAGCAAAAGTTTTCGGTCATAGCTTATGTGCTCCCTTCCCACACCACCCCTCTAACCTCTACACTTGACATCAGATGGCATTCAAAGGTAATGAACACTTTAAGACCTTGGGTAAGAGGAAGCCGATTTAAGATAAATTTGGTTTGAAAGGACTGAGATATATTTATATGGTTTGAGGCCTGTAAGATATCCACGTGGAGTTAATTTACTGCTAAATACCGTAGCTTTGCCACAATTTCCAGATATGCTACCACCACCATTGTGCCAGTCCACTCACTGCCATGACATGAAGGTCCAGGACCAGTGGTGGCATTGTGATGTCAAGGTGTTCTCCAGCACAGCCATGACATGTGGGTGAGGGAGAGGTAGCTGGGGAAAAGGATTTGAAATGAATAGAGCCAAAGCCACCTTTGGAAAAGTTGATAATCATTAAATATGCAAAATTGCCAGAGAAAATTTGGTTATCATCAATGTGGAGGCAAAAGTGGAAGATTTCTCCTGTCAGGAAGCTGCACAGCTATAAATCCACCAGTTATACTTTGTTTTAAGAGAGTATCTCCAGCAAGCTGAAGTGGCGCACACCTTTGATCCCAGCTTTTGAGAGGCAGAGACAGGTGGATCTCAGTGAGTTCAAGGCCAGCCTAGTCTATATAGAGAGTTCCAAGCCAGCTGGGGCTACAGGGTGACCCTGTCTCAAAAACACCAAAACAATAAAAAATAAAAATAAAAAACCACAGAAAACAAAACAGGGTCTCCCTAATAATTCTAGCCTGGAATTCACTAAGTAGACCAGGCTACCCTTGAACTTGTTGTGATCCTCCTGTCTCTGCCCCCTGAGTGCTGGGATTACAGGTGTGGGCTACCACATCGAGCTTGCACCAGACATTTTAAAGTTTTTGTTTCCTTGCAGTTCTGGAGGTTGAACCCTAGTCCTGTGTATGGGGCATGCACGCTCTCTCTGGGCGCACTCCCAGAATGGCACTCCCCCGCCACACCTGGCTAGTCGCTGGCGGGTCTGGCCACAGGCGTCTCTGGCCGCAGCAGGTGCCCTGCAGGCTTTTCCCAGCGGCTCAGGTCCCATGTCTCTGGAGCTTCTCTGCTGCAGAAGCATTGTCCTGCCGAATCCTGTCCCTAATTCACCTGTGTACTTTTCCTCAGGATGTGAGGTCCACTGGCCACTGAACCCCACAGGAGAAGTATGGAGACAGCGAAAGCTAGGATGTCCACGAGTCGGTAACGAGGGAGTGCTGCTCCCTGGAGAGATTGGGCCGCCAGTAGTGACACAAGACTCAAGACTTGGCTTAGTCTGTGTTACAGCTTTATTCTCTGAGACCCAGCTCTCTGTGTCCCAGCTTTCTGCAACCCAATTCTCTGACCATTAAGAGAAGACTAAGACATTTATACCATGGGGGTAGTGGTAAAAGCTTTGGCTGTTAGATGCTTTGTGAGGCATTCTATTTACATATGGAAGTGGGTTTCTGCCAGACTGCTGTCTGCTAGGAAAAATCACAGGAAGGCATGGTACCTTTCAGAGCCAAAGGCCATGTTTATGTTATGGCATTTGTGGCGGACACTTCAAAAGGAGAGACAGGAAAGATGCCAGGAAGACACCCTGCTTATGAAAGGAGCCCGCAGCACATGATCCCGAGCTGCATGAGCTGTCCAGTCGTGAAGGGACTTCGACTTTGCATAACAGAGGCTCCCAACACTGTGCAGGCCCAGCAAGCACTCCACCACTGACCTACAGCCCCAGCCCTTGATTTTTCAAGTTTTTGATAGAATTTACGCCCAGCAGAAATTATCAGAATTCTTCTGTTTGGGGGTGCAAATCAGTGTGTGAAGTCATGTCTGCCCGGCAGTGGTAACAAATAAATCTGGACTAGGGCCTCCTAGTCTAAATTATCTTTCTCTCTCTCTACAAAATAGAGGCCTTGCTGAAGAACATCAAAGTCTGAAACACCAGGGGGAATAGCATATGTGGCCATCAGCTAAATTAATTTTAAAATGCGATACTATACTGGGGAATTTGGGGCATCTGTGGTCTATCTTTGTAAAATTTGTAATTTGGAGCTGGGAAGATGGTTCAGCGGGAAGAGAGCTCACTGTGGAAGAGGAGCTGAGTTCAAATCCCCAGCACTCACATAAAAGAAAGCTGGGCAAGGTCACATGTGCCTGTGATCCCAGCATTGGGGGCAGAGACAGACCAGCTCCAGGAGCCCACCAGCCAGCTAGCCTAGCCAAAATGTGAGCTTTGGGTTCAGTGAGAGACCTCAAAAAGTAAGGTGGAAAATGACAGAAGACACCCAACATTCTCCTCTGGCCTCTGCATGTGTGTTCATGGGCACATGTATCTGCACACAGGTGAACATACAACACACATACACAATAGAATAAGAAAATAAATAAAATTTGCAATTTGCTATGATCGGCTACTTTTTCCAGTATAAATATTCTCATTTCTACATGATTTTATATTCATAATTTTTTGTGCTTTTTTTTTTTAGAGAAGACACCAAAGTCTACACCAGCTTCAGGCTGTACAAAGCCCATATCTTGTCCTTGAAAGTAAGTGCTAAGTAAATTTTAAAGACAGGATTCACACAGATTTGATAGAAGGGAGGTAAACAGAAAAGGTCAAGAGGATCCCAAAGAAGAATGTCCTGAGAGGACAGGACCAATGCCACCACAGTGTGAGTCTAGACAGTGAAGTGGGACAGACAGCAGTGGTGGTGGACTGCTGTGAACAGAAGAGGTGAGAGATGAGGTGGGAGGGGCCCCACAAACACACCTCCTAGAGTCACAATTTTTCTCAGTCGATTTCTGGAGTCAAGGAACTCCATTTTACCCAACAGCTCACATACACACACAGGGGCTTGATGGTTTAAAAATCACAAATGACTATTGCAGATAGCCACAGATCACCTCAGCAACCCCAGAAGGCTACACACAGCCTTATGTTCCAGGTCCCAAGCCACACATCTGGATCAGGAACATCTGGAGCAGAATTCCTCTTCACTTCCTTGGAACGCTCCCTGGTCTGTCCAAGGCTAAGCATTTGGCTTAAGCTGAACCAACACAGTTCTTCCTTAGAACTGTGAGATGTAGGCGAGCCACTGAAGAACTCCCCTGCTTTTGCTGATAAGGTTTGACATCTGGAAACCCTGTCCACAGTCATGCTGTAAACAGGACTTCTGTGATTTTTTTTATTAATTAAATATGTTCCTTGACGATTTCACCCATGTACATAATGTATACTGACCACTCTGAGGCCCACCCCACTCCCATCTGCCTACTATTCTTGTCTATCCCCTACTTCCCTCAGACCTTTTTCTCATGTTCATGTCTATTTGTTTTGTGTTGTGACCCACTGAATTTAACAGCATCTTTTGTGTCACCCTGAGTTTGGAGCTATGCACTGCAGTCTGGTGGATTAGGCAGTGGGTACTCAGCTGAAGAAAAGACTTCCCACTCTCCCAGTACCTCTCAATAGCCAACAGTAAGGAGTGGGGCCCTAGGAGGCACTCCCTACCCTGACTGATTGTTAGCAAGGCCAGCCTTTTGTGCAGGGTAACTACAGTTGTGAGTTCATGATTGCAGTGGCTGTGGGAGTCTAGAGGATGGCACTCCACAGCCCTTCATCCTACCTTCCAGCTCTTACATACTCCCCATCCCTTCTCCCTCAGTGTTCCCTGGGCCTTAGAGATGTCTGCTAATTTTATTTATCAACTTGACTGGGTTGCCCAGGGTGCCCAGATAGTTTGTCAGTCATTATTGGGTATGTCTTGTGAGGATGTTTCCAGAAAAGATTGGCATTAAACCAGCAAATGGAACAAGGAAGCTAGCCTCACCAGTGTGGGGAGATGTCAACCTTATAGAAGATCCAAACAGACAAAAAGGCAAAGGCAGAGCGAATTTGTTCTCTCTCCCCTTAGGTTGGGATGCCTATCTTCTTCTGCCTCCCAAATCATGGTGATCTTTGTTCTCCAGATGTCAGACTCACAATGCACTGACATCATGAGCTCCCACCTCCACTATCCATAGCATTTGGAGTGAGCCCAATCACACTACATCTTTGCAGATCTCTCACGTGTGAATGGCAGCCTGTGGGACTTCTCAGTCTCAGTGACAAGCAGGGGCTGACTCCCATAATAAATCCTGTCTCATGTAGAGCCATACAGACTCTAAATTGTCCACAGGCCTTCACACATATGCACATGCATCTGGATCACATGTTCATCATCAGATGAACACACATATAAATACACTCAGCCCCCCAAAAAGAGAAAGACAAGAGTCCTGTGGCATTTGAGTCCCTGGTTCATTATGTCCCCTGTCTTTCTCTTAGTTTGATTTTAAGTTAATAAAGGGTACCTTTTTCCTTTAAGCTAATCTGGAATTATGTTCCTTTCAAGCATCCTGCTCAAGTACTTGCTATCCTCTCTGATATCCTACCAACCTCTTCACTGTCACCCCAGTCCAGCCACAAGCCAAGCCGACCACACTCATACCATAGCAGGTAAAACTCAAAACCCACAGACAGCAGTTTGACCTACCTGACCCCAAAAAACACTTGCAGGAGGGTGCAGATGCCTGAGACGAAGAAAATGGTGCTGATGAGGTAGCTCTGTGTCAGAGGGTCATTCTGAAGGCACAGGTCCTTGGCCAGGATGAGTGGCACAGCCACAAGGCCCCCCAGGGCTGTGAGGAAGTGCTGTGGGAAGAACAAGAGGAGGTGAATATGCAGAGCAGCCCAGCCCTCCCCAGGGATGCCCACCAATGCCCAGAGGTAGGAACTCTGCAGCTGGTCCCAGAGGGGCTGGTAGTGAGTGGCAGACAAAGATTAGGGCAAGTAACGGGAACTAGGAAGTTCTGGTCTAAGAAGCTGAGACCCAGGTAGAGGCCCCGGCGGCACCGTGAGCACAAGGCCATTGTGTTGGGAACTGACATTCTCAGAAAGAAACAAAGGCAGGGATACAAGCTCAGGAAGGTGGAGCAAAATCTAAGATGGGCCCTTAAGGATACAATTATGACTTGTCATTAAAGGAGCACATCACAAGAGCGAGCAATAGTGAGAAAGTTCTGATGAGTGTGAGCTTGGAGCTGTTGGCCAAAGGCTCATTGAGCTCCACTTGCAGGACAGAATAGACCCAGAGTTCAGGGCAGGCTAGAAGTCACAGAAGGTAGCCTCAGCTACCAAGAGGATAAATCAGATGTGGGTTATAGACAGACAGGAGACAGCTAGCAGCTAGCCCTCAATATGGTACAGGAACGAGCCACTATTTCATATACTCTGGTCTCAGACCAGGCATAGGGGATCTACTCACTCATCAGCTCTGTCTGGAGCCACAAGTAAATCTGGCTCGCTCCCCCCCCCCTCTCTCTCTCTCTCTCTCCCTTCCTCCCTCCCTCCCTCCCTCCCTCCCTCCATGTTTATATATGTGTGGAGGCCAAAGGTTGATGTCAGGTGTCTGCCTCAGCTGCTCTCCATCTTACTTTTGAGACAGGAAGCCCCAGGGATCCTCCTGTCTTCTCTTCCCCAGTGCTGGGATTACAAACTTGCACCATCATGTTTGGCTTTTACATGGATTCTGGGGATCAAACTCAGGTCCTCATGCTTGTACAGCAAGCACTTTGTACCAACTGAGCTATATTCCCCTATCCCACAAATCTGGTCCTTGAGCCAAATACTCAGTGAACAAAATCAGGTAAAGTCAGCAGCTTCTCGCCTCTGCTCTCATCCAAACTCTTCTCGGATAACTTAGATCATGTCTCTGCTAGGATTTCCGCAGGTCTCATGTTCCCAGAGCTAATAGAATCCCCCTGACTTGTTGGTACCAGTGAGTGTATGGCTGCATGTTTACCCAGAGTACAGGTTTTCTACTGTATCATATGAGAACATTGTGGGAATTAGCCAAGTAGGCTTGGTTTGCTTAGTTTACCTATGGGTCCTGTCAAGACAGTAAATGAAAGAGAGGGAGGGAGGAAAGCAGGAAAGGGGAAGGGACAAGGAAGAAAGGACAGAGGGAAGGGAGGGAGGGACAGAAAGACAGAGGGTAGGAGGGAGGAAAGGAAGAGGGGAGAGGGGCAAACAGGGAGGGAGGGAGTTTCCCTGAGGAGCAGTGCCATGAAGAGTTGCCAGTGAGGTGCTGCTATGGGGAAATTTGGCCACAAGCCCTAGAACACCTAATCCTAGCTTGTCCCACTTCTCATCCTCCCACAATGCTTGAGCAAGCCCCACACAAAGGAGGCAAAGGAAGAGTGATTACATTTTTATGTTCTTATTTCTTTGCTACTTTGATCCCAAACCTCAATATGCTCAATATTAGTAAAATTACACAGGAAAGGCTGTTGTCTTTTTCCTTAAGAAAACTAAGTCTGCAACCAATGATGGCTGGGGAGGGAGATTCAGTATTGTTTAAGGGTAAGACTCTTAGTATTGACCAGGCTCCACACCGAAGGGCATTTGGGGACACAAATCTGACTCTATAGGATATATATCAGGTTTGTATATATAGATATAGGTAGATAGATAGATGATAGATAGATAGATAGATGATAGATAGATAGATAGATAGATAGATAGATAGATAGATCAGGTGGGCTATTAGAAAGGGGGTGCAGATTCAGGAGGGACTCTATATTGCATGAGATTTGCAAAAATTCAATTAAAATTTTAATTAAAAAATAATAAGAGAAAAAAGGAAAACTTAAGTCTGAAAAATGTACATAGACAACACAGGCCTGCTTTTCCATCCACCCCCAGGTAGAGCTGAGTCTCAGAATGCACTTCTTCAAAAGGATCAGGTACCATAAGCGACCCACCCCCAGAAGACAGCAAGAGAGCATGCAGCCCACCGCCTAAGGTGGGATGGGCCAGGGTCTCCAGAGCAACCTGGACCAACACCGCTGCGGGGAGAGCGTGCCAGACCTCTCCGGCCATATGGGTGGAAATAGCAGGAAGAAAGCAGAGGAGAAACAAATGCCAGGTCCTGTGACCACATCAAGCCATGTCTCAAAGGGACCAGTCAACCAGTGGATTATCCACAAGGTTAATCCCCTCTATGAATGTTCTAGAATAATCCAACCAATATGACCAACACTGCTCTTTGACAGAAGAGTAAGGAGAGGGGATGGGAAGTGTATTGGAGGCAGGGAAGACTTTGAACATCCTGACAGCTTCCACAGACCAACTATGGTCAAAGAGGGGTTGGCTGCTCAGGAAGGAAGTGTATAGAGAGCTTTCAGAAAAAGAAGGTATGCGTATTTAAAGGCACTGATGATCATCCACTGATCCTGGCATGAGTTTAATACTTGATAACCGCCCCCACCCCGCTTTTTTTGGGTGGCACTGTAGATCGAACCTAGCATGTCTCACACGTTGGGCAAATGCAGTACTTCTGAGTTATATCCCCATCCCAGAACCTGATAGTTTACAAATGCTTCTTTGATCTGCCACCAGCTAAGCTAATATGAGCCACTGTAGTTAACAGGCCTAGAATCCACCAGTATTATATTTCTTATCTAATATGTCCAGCAACACTGGCTAACCTCACTTATCAGGGTTAACTACCTCCCTCCTATTATCAAATAAACCTCTTGATTCTAGAGACTAGATTGTGTTTCACGGAAGCTGAGGCAGAAGTAGCTGCTGCGGGCAGAACTGGCCCCACAGGTCCTTGGCATGGTACCTCTCCATCTTCCCAAAGACCTAGCCCAAGAGAAACGGAGTTTTTTAACCAAGCCTGTGACCCTACTCAAGTCACCAGTCCCTGTCCTTGATGTGACAAGTCACCTTAGCATTGGTGAGAATCTTTTTTTTTTAATAATCAATACCCATCTGTGCTGGATAGCTTTAGTGTCAACTTGACACACCTGGGTTGGGGGAGCCTCAATTGGAATTGCCTCCATTGGACTGGCCTGTGGCCATGTCTGTGGGTCATTTTCTTGATTGCTGAGTGATGTGGGAGGGCCCATCCCACTGTGGGTAGTGCCACCCCTGGGCAGGTGGGCCTGTGTTGGATAAGAAAGCAGGCTGAGCAGGGACCAGAGGAACAAGCCAGTAAGCAGCATTCCTCCATGGCCTGTGCTCCAGTTCCTGCCTCCAGCTTACTGCCCTGAATTCCTACTTTGCGACCTGGGAGATGTAAGCTGAATAAACCCTTTCCTCCCCAAGTTGGTAGTGGTCAGAGTATTTTGTCACAGCAATGAAGAAACAAACTAAGACATCATCCCCAAATGTTGAGAGAGAGAAATAATCTAGGGATCAATATGGAAAATACATTCTCAACTGAAGTTGGTGCTGTTTGATTTGATCTGTGGTTTTTGATACAGAACTTCTCTGGACCCAGGGCTTGCTGTGTGGTCTTACCTGGATCCCCAGGAAGATGCAGAGATACCATGGAGGGACATCCAAGATGCTATAGGCAAGGTGGTTGCTGCTGGGACTCTCGCGCCTCCCATCCTGCTTCCTGCCTTGGCCTTCAGTGTGGGAGCCGAGCACACCATCACCCCTCTGCTGGGAACAAGAGAAGGGCAATGTGAACACTCCAGAAGAAGACAATCAGACCTCCTGACTTCAGCTGTAACGTGGGACACCCTTCTAGAGACAAGAGGCCACAGACAGGGATAACTGTTAGCCAGGTGGGGTCTGAAGGTCCAGACAAAAAAGACCAGTGTTAACCTGTTTCCTGTGTTCTCCATCTTCATCAGGGCCTCTGTGATGTCTGGGGCTGTGGAGAAGGGGGCTGACCCAATGCCTTAGCAGAAAGGCAGCTTTGTGAGAAAGGAGATGGGGACCAGCCTCAAGGTCAGAAAACAGGTAGATTTCCCTCTTGGGCTTTGTGCATTCTCCAGGGACAGGGGGACCGTGTTGGCAGGTGTCACAGCCCCTTCACAGCATGTCTACCATGAGGGATGGCTTCCTTCTCCAGATGGTCTCCTGCCTGCTAGTTCTGAGATGCACTGGTTGTGCCTTACTTTTCTTTATTGTGTCAGCTGCTTCTGCAGTCTCTGTGGTCAATGAAGACTGAATGAACATTCACAAACTAATGCAAACAAATGCCGTGCATACAGAATAACCTAGAGCCAATGGCCAACTTGCATTCCTACCCTTAAACCAAAACTTAACTTGGAATTATAGGCTTTCACTTCAACTTACAGACTGTAAGCTTATTAACCTTGGGCAAATTAATATTTCTGTCTCAGCCTTCTTATCGAAATGGCACCACCCTTGTAGGTGGTTGAAAAAAATTAAATTACAACACAAAGCATGTAGTCCAGGGCTTGACACAGCAGAACTGCCCAATAAATATTAGCTGTCATGATCACTATGATCTTCCATTAATGGCATGCTGACATTGTGATACCTTTGGATGACAGGAACATGAAAACATCCTCTCTGGTGTGGCTAGAGGTAACAAGGCCACTAGCATGAAGGTCAAATCACTCTAGGTGATGTGTCCCCAGGGAGTCCTGGGCTCTGGTCAAACCACAGAGGGCAGAGTCTATGCAGTGGCACAGCCAGGGCTGCCCAAGTGTAGCATGGGCAGTAGGAAGCAGTTCTGGAAAAGGTACTGAAAACATTCACTCCAAAACCCACCTGTACACCTAAGCAGCCTATGCCACAGCCCAGCCTTGTGGACCTGATCTGGAGCAGAGCCAACTCATGGTGCTCAAGGGCAGACACTAAGTACTATGATTCTGTGTGTGCCTTCCTCCACGGGAAAAACGCTTAAAATGATATTAGGAAACCACATTAGTACAAAGGTGGATATATTCAAGTATCAAAACATTTTCTTTACTCTCAAAGTACATCTTTTATCTGATTATTTAGTGATGCTGAGGGTCAAACCCAGAGCCTGGGGCTCAAACCTAGAGCCTCGCCCATGCTAGGTACTCTCTGAGCTACACGCCTAGCCTTTCCCATTCTACCTTAAAACTCATGAGCTCGTAAAGTACTAGGAACCTGGGCACTGTGTGTACTCTACCTAATGAATCAGTGGCTCCACTCCAGAGAGATGTGAGAAGGGGATGGTGGAGTGGCTGCTTGCTTAGAGAGTTAAGTTCAGAATCTGATCAAGAACTGGGTGGTTCTCTACCACCTAGCACAGTTCTGAAGAACCATTTTGTTCTCATACAAAACAACATTCACTCATTCATCTTCTAGTATTAGGTTCTAAAACAAAAATGTTAGAAGTTTTTCACCCCTAGAATGTAGTTGGTTCTCACTGAGCTGATGAACTAAATGGACAAATGTATCAGGGGATGGCTTTGGAGGTCTTCTAGCAGTGGGGTTGTTTTTTCAATGTCTACCTTTAACTGATTGGAGCTCTTTTGAAATATCATGTCTGTCCTATTTAGACTTCTAAAAAGAGGGATATACTGATGCCACTTGGTCCTTGGGTTGTGCATGACAGAAGTCTGCTCTTCCTGAAGGGGTTACAACTGGACCAAAGATAGATTAAAAGCCGCTGGAGGGAGTGCTGACATTTAAAGTCCATCTGGTGAGTTTTTAGTGACTGTATGGCAGAATCTGCAAGGAACAGGCAATTGAGAGATGAACCACAGGAAAGAGGAGGCAGGAAAGACAGAGAACATGTGTAAGAGACAATTGATTGGCTCTAGTGGGGAGTGCATGCAGAAGAGTTGGGTACATGTGATCTGTCACTCTTCAGCACAGGACTTGACCACCCCCAGCCTCAGTCTTCCCATCTAGAATCGGGGACACTCATAGAGTGCCCACAGGCTCAGGCCTGTGTGGCGTGGGGGTCCCTGTTATGTGGCCCATGAAAGAATGATCTGTTGTTATAGCTGTATAGGTTTAGGCAGCAAGCTTACCTCACACTCTCTCCAAGACCTCTCAGAATTCTCAGAAGGGTGAAGGGGAGGGAAACACTGTGACATGGAGGGAACCAATGTCAAAGCCTTTTGCCAGTCTGAGGTCTTCTGAATCCTCCAAGTTCTGTCTTTATACCCACACAGGTTATCTTATAGTTATGGAAACTAACTCTGCACTTGCTTCAAAACAGTCATCTGAGAAAAACTGATCCTGTTTGAGGCACTACATTTATAAAAGAGTGAGAACCTAGGGCTAAGGAGAATATTTTCCCTGAGGAAGCCAGTTCTTCCCCTGTGATAAGAGTGATCACCATAAAGCCCTGATTCAGGTACAAGCAGAGCCTGAGACCATAATTTGACCTCGTGACATAAACCTTTCTTCAAACACACTTGTTTCCTTCCTCTGTTGTGTGTTTACTTTTCTTTTTCTATCTTGCTCACCTAATTGTATATAGTCTTGGGAACTTGGGAACTGCCACAAGCTATCTAAAGAGGTGGGGCATAGAAATAGAAGAAGTAGAGATAAAGTACACCATGGGTCTGTGTGTCAGCCATGAATTGCTAGTGCATTGAAATCGTCCATCGAACCAGATGACACCCCAGATATTGGAGAGTCAGTCTAAGATGAAAGTGGGAGATGTTCCATCTCAGGACACAGCAGAGTATGGAGAGAACAAAGAGAACTCTTCAGCAGGAGCTGTGCATGTGAGCCACAGAGCAGCAGAGGAAAGCTTGTGAGCCTCTCCTGGAGGAAGAATGGATTTTGTGAATCCGTCCTTGACAATGAGCAGTATTGTGACCACATCTCTTCTGGTTGGAGGTCTTTCAACTCAATATGTGGACTGCAATCTCAATAGAAGATTCATCAAAGAGGCATTTTTAATGAGGCTGGCATTTTCCCAGTCCTTTGTGGGTTACAAAGAGATTCCAGAGCTTACTCTTGTTTGGGTCTTGCCGTCACCTCGTTTCTCCCCATTGACTTCATTGGAGCTCAATGAAGTCACAGGGCTTGTCTTACATTACCTAGGAAAGCTGCCTACAACTTTGGTCCTGTGGGTACAGGGACAGGCCTCCAGATCCCAGGAGTAGGCGGGCAGGGCAAGGGGAGGCCCTTGTGTAATGAAAACAGCAGTGATCCTGGGTGACGGTGGGTCTTGTGCTCCCTCTGACATCACTACCACACACAGTGTCTGTTCCTTCCAGTCTTCAGGCCCGACCTGATCTAGATCATTTCCTACATTCCTGTTTCCTGGTGCTGGCTATTTGGATTGTCCAAGTTCCTCCACAGTAGCCTCAGTGTGCTAAAGTACCCTCACTCACCCTATGCTCACATTCAACCTCAGCAGAAAAAGTGAGGCATAGATGCCACTGTAGAACACTGTCCTCCAAACCTAACCATTACTATCTCCATCAAAGCAGCTGTGGCTGCTCATACCTGAGATTTCAGTTACTCCCTCCTGTACCCCAGTGTTATTCTGCCACAGCTGCATGTGATCCTGGAGGTGTTAGAGAATACAGAGTGTGGATGGTTAACTGAAGTAGGGGAGGGGGAGCTCCATATAGAGTACAGCTATGGGGAAGTCATCATCCATACTGGTGTACGATTTCTCAGTAATGTAACCACTTTGGGGTCACCCACACTCCCATAAGCAACCCCAGCCCATATTCCTATAAGTAAGCCCAACAAACTCACTCACCAAGCTAGACTTTGGTCTGTCATTGGTGCCCTGTCTGGGGGTACATAGACATTTGACGATAAATCATGCAACACTTGGTGCCAAAACACGAACATGACAGAACCAAGGCCGAGGAGGAAAGGAATAGGTGCATCGTCCCCACTATGGCTGATGGCACACGCAGCTGGAGTAAAGCTGTCTATGGGTGGAATGCCTGTGGGGGCAATCCCAGTATGTGGCCATCCTCTCCCATGTGGAATGACATGCCTTCTTGCTATAGCGCTGGCTGCAATGTCCCTGCTTTGGGTCACAGGACATGGAATTGAGGCTGAGTTGTCACACAGAGGGAAAGTAGGGGTAGAAAGTCTGTGGCAGAAATCCCAGTGGGGCTGTCCTCCTCTCTGTGGAATGCACCTTGATAAATGTTGTCCATCAAGACCATACAGGGACAGTCCACGAATGTCTGACAGGTCAGAGAATATATTGCGGTTTCTAAAAGTAACACATCTGGAACATGATCGTAAGGGGGCTACAGAAGTTGCGCTGCCCCTGCTGTGGGTAAGAAGCAACGGGCTGAGCTGTCTGCTTCAAAAGAACTTCCCCATGTAAGAGAGGAATCACAACAGGAAAACATTGAAGTGCAGACGCTGTTTTCCTCACTAGCCTCCAAACTGGCAGGAAAAGTAGGAAAATGAGTAAGACGGAGATCGTGGTTGGCCATTCCTTAAGGTGAAGGGACATAGGAGAACAGCACAAATTGGATCGGTGCTGAACAGCCCCTCCTGCGAGCCAAAAACTTGGAGCCCATGGGAAGAATCGAATAAGGAGAGAGAGAGAGTAGGAAGAAATGTAAACGAGGAGTGGCTGAGGGTTGAGAAAGGGACTGAGCATGGCAGAGGTCATGTGTGGTACCTAGTTCACCAGGTATGACAAGACTTTCGGGGAAGAGTTAAGAAAGACGTGAATTCAGCAAGGATCTCATTGTGGTTTTGCTGAGCCTCATGGCAGTCCAGGATTTTTGCAAGGTATGAACGGCTCTAGAGAATCTGGGTGACAGGCTGATATGCAAATTGGGTTTGTGAAGTACTAAAGCAATCAAGAGGGGATGTGTGCTGGATAGCCTCAGCTGTCAACCTGACACACTTGGGAAGAGGGAACCTCAACTGGGGAATTTTCTCTATAGGATTAGCCTGTGGGTAGATCTGTGAGGCATTTTCTTGGTTGTTGAGTGATGGGGGGGCAGCCCACTGTGGGCAGTGCCCCTCTGGGCAGGTGGTCCTGGGTTGAATAAGAAAGCAGGCTGAGTACAGGTCAGAGGAGTGAGCCAGTAAGTAGTGACCCTCCAAGGTCTGTGCCTTGGGTTCCTGCCTCTGGGTTCCTGCCTTGAGTTCCTGCTCTGACTTCCCTCAAGGAGAAACCATGATATGGAAGTGTAAGTCAAATAAACTCTTTCTTCCTCAACTTGGTTTTGGTCAGAGTGTTTTCTCACTGCAATAGAAAGCTACCTAGGACAGGATGAGAACTAGAAAAAGTAGGAAAGGGGGACTTTCTGGGTTACTCAAAAGCATATATAGCAAAACTTGTTCTGAGCTTGGGTTCCTAGGGAAAAAACAGACAGAAATTTAGATGCTGTGGTTGTGCCTTTGGAAGGCTTAGAGCCTGAATGAAGTTCACCAAAGAGGTAGGTGGATGATGGGAACATACCAGTGAGACCCAATGTGTCAGCAGTTATGGACCAGAGGCCCCACTTACAATTGTAGATTTAGTGTTGGCTTACTGAAGCCCAACTTTTAAACATCTATTTAGAAAAAAATTGCAGACGTATTGGTCTTGTCCTAATGTGCAGAATGTTCAGGCATGGGTCAAGGCTAGAACTAGGGGCATTGGGCATCAGTTTATAGAGATAGAATGGTATAGATAAACAATTTAAACCTGACCTAGGGGTAGGTAATTTTATCCCCCATAGTATTCTGTGTACAGTTCTCCCCTGGGAGTAAAGATTGCATACCAAGCTCAGGGCCCTTTCAGCAGGCAGATGTGCCAGTGAAGAGGTAACAGCTGGCTGAAGTGCTGGCCCAGAGAGGGAGCCTGTGACGGTCACTGCAGATGAGAACATGACTCTGCTTCCCCTCAGCCCTGGGCAGGTGAGGGGAGCACGAGCCAGCCCTGACTGTCTGTCCTCTGGAGGTTAGATACACAGGAGTCCCAAGGCAGCACCTCAGGATGAGGAAGCCAGACAGCTCCTGGAGACTGTGGATTGTGGAGAGATAACTAAGGTAGTGCCTTCCAATGACACCTCTGTGCTCCACATTGATCTTTTGAGGATACAATTGATTCAAGTGGTAGATTTTTTTTCATGCTCTGCTGGGTCTTGCTAACATTTTTTTTTTAGCATCCCCTTAGTTGCTGACTCCTGAGACTAACTGGCACTTCTTAGAATGGATGATGATGGGCCTTCAGAGATTCTTCTCACTCTCTGCAAAAAGGTTTCATTACAGAGATGGTATGGTGCTAACCTCTGAGCCTTTTACAGATTTAGAAAAGCATCTGAAAGCTGTGTAAGTACAGCTGAAAGAGCCCAATGGCCAGGCAGAGCTGTGGAATTCTTAGAAACTTTATGGTTGGGTGAAATACAGATGATACCTAACAAGGTGATTGAGAAAATCCTACAACAGCCTAACAATGAAATAATGGTTAAAGAGTTTGAATGAAGGTACTGTGTGCGTGTGTGTGTGTGTGTGTGTGTGTGTGTGTGTGTGTGTGTG